GGTTTATTCTCTACAGGATGTTATAATTTGCACATGTAGTATTAAAGACCATATTATGCCATAGCAGCTCTTATTTATTTCACATTTTTATTTTTTAGTAAAATATATATATTTTACTAAAAAATAAGTATGTCAAATAAATTAGCATATAGCATACAAATTAGCATCTTTACTAGATACTACTAGAAAAACAATTTGCAATTACTGGAAGCATTTTTTTCTGTTTAAGTAGCTGTGCCTGGTCATCAGGGCTGCAACTAGGGCTGGGTGGTATGACCTGAAATTCATATCATGGTATAAATTGAGTTCATTCATGGTAACTGTATATATATCGCGGTAGAAAGTTTTCATAAAAAGCAAAAAAATGTAATTTTTTGAGCATTTTTTTTTACTGAAAACTGTAATCCTAACCAAACCCAGCATTTTTGCTGTATTGCAAATGAACATAACAGAAGTACAAAAGAATGTTTTATATATATTGCAAAACAGTTTCAACAACAAACAAAAACATTTCTCAAATTTTCAACAATATCAAAATAAACTGGATGTTATAACCATAACTTCAATAAAATTAGACATTTAGATATAAAAAAAATCAATGTCTAAAATGTTATAGTGTGACAGGAACTCAAGGGGCTTAAGCTGCACATAGTCCGGTCATAAAACAATTTCAGATAACTAGAATGTAAGTGTGGTGAAGCCAAATAAATGTAACATCTGCCTGCCATACAATGAGCTTCTGCCTGCTGAACTTTATCAGCTGCTGCTCTGCTGCGCACTCATCTTCATCATCTTCATCATCAGATGAAGCTGCACTCTGCTGCACAGAGTTTCTGGGATCAGCTGACCTGCATCCAGAACATGATTTGTATAACTGTGGGTCGAACAGCAGGGCAGGTCCTGAAGAAAACCAGTTAACAGCAGGGCAGGTCCTGAAGAAAACCAGTTAACAGCAGGGCAGGTCCTGAAAATAAACAGTAAATAAATGGAGAAGCTAAACAACACAGTTACTGTTTTTGAAGCGAACACAGCAGGATAAAGTATACGGACTTTGATGTGATCATCAGCCGGACATTGAGAGCAGCAGACTGTTTTATGTCACGGGGGGAGTGCCGAGCTCGCTCAAGGTGATAGACGCATGCACTATATGCATAACGTGAAAGCTGACTATAGTTGGAAAAAAGAGCATACGAGACACTTAATTTGTCTTAAAATACAGACATTCTGGCAAATAAGTAACTGTTTGTAACCTTACCTCAGCTTAGAAGGCAGAGGGTGTCGGTCTTTTCNATCTATGCCACGAAGAATTGAGGCAGTTCTGAAGGCAAAAGGGGGTCCAACCCATTACTAGCGTGGTGTACCTAATAAAGTGGCCGGTGAGTGTAGATGGAAACCAGAAGTTGGTCACTTCTCACAGATTATTGACTCTGGAGGGCCGATAGATGAACCCAGTTGGTCAAATGAGGTGTCAGTCAAAAGAGGAGGGCTTAGACRGCCATTTTGATGCATTGAACACGGAGGTAGGTGGCTGAGAAACGGAGAATGACAAAACGCAACTTAAAACAGCATGCGGGCGTTCCGGTGCTTGTTGTGTTCTACAAGCTCCGTGTTCGATTGCTCCGTGAGCTACTGCTAACCAGCTAAAGATCGATGGGTCGATCGTGATCGACTGGTTGGCCTGGCCTGTCTTAATGTATTTATAGTTGTGACTGAGTGAAATAATCAAATATCATCTMTTTATTTGTGAATTCAACAAATGGAAGTATTTTTTGGGAATCCTGCTTGACCTAAAATAAGGAAAATTTAGACAGTGAGAGAAGAAATGGTTCTGTATCTTTATACAGTATATGTATCATGTTTAAACTTTTGCTCTTTGTGTCTCATCTTATACCTGAATCAGGTGGTGGTGGTGGAGGAGGAGGAAGCAGTGGTGGTGGTGGAGGAGGAGGACCGATGGGAATGGGCGGCCTCTTCCAAGGTGGATTGCCTAAATTACGTTCAGTCGGAGGTAAAAGCTTTGTTTTGTTTTGCTATTCTTTTGTTTTATTTGGAGGTTCTGAATGTGTCAATGATGAAAATAATCNTATCATTAGCATCGCAAGATTTGTTTAGTTTACACGTCCATAATGCACACCCGCCATCAGAGTCAAGAACCAATCAAATTTAGTGAAGACAAGCGGCCTGAAAGAGCGCGATTTACAACGCTGCTATCGCGTCCCGTGTGTCGGGTTTCACCCTGGCTGCGATGACAGCCGTTAATCGCTGTAGTTTGTCGCTCCCCGTGTGTCGAGTCCTTTACTCTCTGGCGCTCAAGAGGTAGAGGAGCCAAATGGCTGGCTCACTGCTGCCAGCTAGTGGTCAGAGGCTGAACTACAACATAAAAATGAATAGCTGGCAGGAAAGTTGACGTTTTYGACCTTAATAAAAATCGATACAGTATCGGGAAATGAAATATCRCARTATTTCAGTGTATCGATATTTTCTTACACCYGTAGTTAGCACTGATGCCTCACTGCAAGAAGGTCCTGGGTTTGATCCCCGGTTTGGACCTGGGGTCTTTCTGTGCAGTTTGCATGTTYTYGTGYTTGCGTGGGTTTTCTCTGGGCACTCCGGTTTCTTCCACAGACCAAAGACTTGTATAAAACGTTGCCTTCAGGCCCAGGACTCCATTGGAGAAAAGCTCATTGATCACAGTGGGATTTGCCTGGATAAATAAAGGTTAATAAAATGGCACAGAATGGGCTGTTATAGAGGAATTTTTGAGGTTTTTAATCACTGTRTAAACTAAAATACAATAAAATTCTCTTCCTTTTTACTTTCAAGGATTTGGTGTGTGTCATCCCAGTGAAGTGAGTGGCCTTTACATCACAGAGAGAGGTGCCAACAGAATAACAGGATGCCTATTCCTCCTCCTCCACCTCCTGGACCCCCACCTCCCCCAACTTTCAGTCAGGTAACTGACTCAACTAAACACACAACACAGACCGCTTTTTAAAGTAGCATTGGTACATTACTGTTTGGGTGTTAAATTAAGTACACTGCATTTATCATTTCATTGAAACTAATTTTTTACCAAAATTTAGCCTCTTCAGTGAAGCAGCTGCTTTAAAGACATTTGTATATAAAACCTGGTGTTCTGTAAGTGTAAAGTTTGTAAAGTTAGTTTAGACTGGTTCAGATTCTCTACTGTGGTTTAAATCAGAGCAACATTGTAGTTTAATAGCTGTTAATGTTTTCTGCAGGCGAACACAACTCCTCCCAAACTGAGTTCTTCTGAAGCAAAAGGCAGAGGAGCACTTCTGTCAGACATCTGCAAAGGAGCTAGATTAAAGAAGGTCACAGAGGTGAATGACCGGAGCGCTCCTGTTCTAGAGAGTGAGTGTACAACAAGTTTTACTCTCACACACACATACGCACACACACAAGTTTGTTTTGATATTTCCGTGGAGACTGTGCATTGACTTCGTTTTCTGGTCATTTCTCTAGGCTAAACCTGACCATTTACCCTAAAAATTAACACCCCAGTACATACCTGACCCTGAACCTATCCTAGACTCAGTAACCTATATGCCACGGACTTCCGATCTAGCACTTCCGCATTCTTTGTCCCCGCACCGGTGTTAGCAAAAGATTTTTTCACCCGACAACGACTCTTAAGGATCTCCACAGTACAGAATTAGCATATTACATGTACCAACA